CCGCCATGGGGGGTATGAGCCAAGATATATGGGATCAAGCAAGCAAGCCAGAAGCCTGATATCTCTAGGCCCCGTTGCAACGATTGTCACGATCACTAGGAAGAAGAAACGGCTTGTGCAGCGAAAGATAGGAACTAAGGGACTAAGCGGAGCACGTCAGCCTCGGTTCGCCTAGCCTCTTCGTTAGCGGTGTCTTGGTGCATCCTCCCGGGGGGTGCGGACTGATCAGGCGGTGCTGAATTAGGCATCACGCAGTGATGTCTCTTTCTTCTCCCGGCTAGGCAAATGCTGCCTTGTCGGCCTCTCTAGCTCCCAATGAGTTACCAATCAATCTTTTTTTTTTTTTTGCGCAGCGGTGCGAGCAGCGTTCCAGTAAACCTGACTACCACTAACGAAAATTCCATTCGGATGAAAAATCCAAAAATCATTCAAAAAGAGCTCCGGAAGATGACTGAACACTGCAGTTGATCACTGAGATGCACAGTTCGGTCGTGTAGGTATTCTTTGCTGTTCGCCGGACCCGGCCTGTGTAGGAGATCTCCTCAAATGTACAAATTTTGCATCTCTACCGGTGAGCTGTTTCATACCTCCAAATCTGGCATGTGTCAAAGGTTCAGTTCGTGGGGTGGACTTGAGCCTAACTCTCTCAGAAATTTTGGAAATGTTTTCCGTAGCAGGAGCCGAATCAGTGTTCCAGTGCCGCGTATCGTCTACAAAAGGAAGATCCCGACTGAGTCGGTTGAGTGTTACGTTTGCCGGTACAACTCGACCAACCGAAATCAAGACGTGGCCACTTGATACCGGGTTGAATCGATAATCCCTCGTCCACTGCAATGCGCCAAATCATGGCGTTACGGTCACAGCATAAAGGGGTGCAGATCGGCGGTCCGTTGTCGGGTATGTGCAGGGCACCACAATGCTAAAGAATGTTGAGCAGATAAAATGCGTTGTCTGTGCAACGAGTCTCACGCAGCTAATGAGATTAAGTGTCTTGCAAGGGCTCAGGAAATGCAAATAATGGAAATCGTTGAGCAAAAACGATGTTCTAGACGTGAAGCTTGAGTCATTATTGTAGAGCGGTCTCGGAGATATGCCGGTGCTACGAGTCGTCTCAATCAGGCGATAGAATCCTCTCTTCCAGAAATATTAGCATCAACTATTGAAAGGTTATTGGCAAAGGCCATAGAAAATCTTTTACTTACCTTAACCGAATCATTAACACAAATAGTGAATGCGCAGATGACACAAATACTGGAGAATGTTATACTACCGGGTATGCCTTCTTTGCCATCCTCACCACCTAAGGAGCGTAATGCGTGTTCGATAGAATCAGGTTCAACGGTTACTACCCGCAAAGAAATACCCGTCGATGAAGAGGTGTGTTCCCCAAAACCAGGTGCGTCTAACATGAAGCATAAGCTAATAATTCAAGTCGAGCAAGACTTAGATTGGAGTTCTGATTCAAGTTCCCATGAATCGCAAGTGAACTCAGAATCTAGAAACATGAAACGGCGTGCGTCGCCTGTAGCTCAGGGTTCTCCAATGAATCACAAGGTGAAAAGTAAAAAATATCACAAGGAAAGAGCTTCAAAACAGGACTTTTTGAGAGATAGTATCTCGGAGAAGGTAGTTAATATTGCTGGTATTTCATCAAAATAGGTGCACTTGGATTAAAAATATTACAGTGTAACTGCCTGTCAACTTTTTCTGCTACAACTGACTTATATTACCTTTGTAATCAATCTGTTCCAGATGTAATTCTTTTGCAAGAAACTTGGCTTCCACAAGAAAAGAGTTTTTATATAAAAAATTACTGCATCTTTAGGTTAGACCAGCCCTCTATGGGTGGCGGCTTAGCCGTACTTATTACTTCAGAAATTGCTTTCCGAGTTAAAATTACAGGTCAAGTAATGAATTTAGGCAGTGAAATTTTAGCGTTAGATGTATCTCTTCCGGGATGCCCCCCTTTTGCGTTAGTAAATGCTTATTTTCCAGCTGGTGTTCAAGATACTACTGTGTTTATTTCTGTAATTTCGTAATGTAGGAAACAAATAGTATTGGTGGGTGACTTCAATTCTCACCATAAATCGTGGGGTTTCAGAACCGATATGAGTGGGAAGCTTTTGTGGGAACTGGTTTCGCAGTATAACCTAACGTGCATTAACACACGAACACCCACTTTTGTTAGTAGTCAGTCTCATTCCACGATTGACCTTACCTTCTACAGTCCTAACCTCACTATTTCTACATGGTCTACCCTGAACTTGGGTACAAGTAGTGACCACTTGCCTCTATATTTTGAGATTGTATGTCTGGTGACCTCTGTAACCAGCCACTCAATAACTCACGTGAATTTTAGTACATTTGAAAAATCACTAGGGGCCGCCTGGTCAAACCGAATAGTTGAAAGTGAAGAGCAAACTGCCGTGAATTCAAGTAACGTGATAAAAGAATCAATAAATAAATCGACATTCAACGTAAATGTAAGGGGGTCTAACAAAGGTGTTTATAATCCTTGGTGGTGGAATTCAGCTTGTGCACGCGATTACTGACTAAGAAGAGCTGCGTGGCATAAACTACTTTACAACCAATGCCCTAGAAATTGAAGAGATCTTAAATATGGGGCTGCCACTTTTAAGAGAACAGTTGCCGCTGCGAAAGACAGCTATGATAGTCAGTGTTCTGAGTTTCTGTCAAAACCTAGCAACAGGAAATCGCACTTTAATTTTCTCAGAACCAAAAAGGTCATACCTTCATCCAAAAATGTTGAAGTTTCTACTCCAAGTGAATTGTCTAGTTTTCTCTAAGGTACTGCAAAAGGACTTCAAGGTCGCTTTACGCCTGCCTTCTCACACCACTCGTGGTCTCCTGAGAAAAGGGACGGCTTTGAGGAGATCACTGCTTCGGAGTTGGAACAAGTAGTGAGAAACTTGCCCAATACTGCGTCAGGTTCTGATGGCATAAGTACTTTGGCAATAGAAATCATCCATAATGTTCTACCCCAGGACCTCCTGGCATTGGTTAACCACTCTATCACAAACTCATGGATTCTACCTGATTGGGAATTTGCTGAGATAATTGCTTTATTAAAAAAACAAGGTGCTGGGTTTATGTTAGGCCTATAGCACCTACATCTATCTGGTAAAGCTAATTGAAAGGATCTTACACATTAGGATAGATGATTGGTCTAATGAAAACATGGTCGTGAGCCCATGCTAAATTGGCTTCAGGCGTGGTTGCTCCATTTGGTGTGCCCATATCAATTTGGAAAGGAGAGTACAGCTTGCCCGTTATAAGAACCAATATGCCGCCTTAGAAACCCTGGACATCACAAAAGCTTATGACACCGTGGAACATTCAAAACTTATAAATTCCCTTAAAAACGCAGGTCTATCACAATACTTTATAGCATGGGTACATTCCTTTTTAAATGACAGATAATTTTACTGTTCTCAATCTGGTTTGTCATCTTTAAGGCTCACACAAACTAGAGGTCACCCACAAGGATCAGTGTGATCGCCACTATTATTTAAGATTTTACTATGCACTATTCCTGTACAGATGGTCGTGCAAGTGTATGTGTATGCCGATGATATCGCGTTTTTGCTACAGCTGGAAGTATACATTCACTTTATTGAAGTGTGCAGACGTATATGAATGCTCTAGAAACGTGGTTAGAAAAAATAAACTTATCACTGACTCTCAAAAAAAGTGCGATGGTAGTTTTTCCTCTGAGTGTTCCGGTTCATATCGCTTTGCTTTACCAGCAAGACGTTATCCTGCAGGTAGAATCTGTTAAGTATTTAGGAATCACTTATACTGAAAAACTTGATTAGAGTCCACATATAGAAAATATGGCTGCCAAAGGAACACGTGCGCTGGGGATGTTTTGTACACTCAGCAACAAACGTGCAGGTTTACGCCGTGATGTTCTCATCATGATTTACAGCATGTATATTCGCACGATATTAGAGTTCGGCTGCGTATTGTTTTCTGGGGCACCTGCATACAAACTATGGCCACTGGTTCTTTTAGAACGCGAATCATTACGATTATGCCTTGGACTTCCAAAATTTGTATCAAATACTATTTTATACAAAGAAGCACGCCTGCTTCTCTTCGTACTCGGTTTAACATCCTAACCATGCATACCTTTCTGAAGATCTATGCATCGCCATTGAGGAGATCACAATATAATTCTTTTTAAATCATTCGACGCAATTTTTCAACTATCAGTGGCCTAGATTACGGTGTCCCCATTTCATTTTCGCACAGACACAATTGAAAACATTACAAGTGCAGCTCTGTGAAGTATTAATTATAAGCAGATCTATACAAACAAGTCGAATAGCATTGGACGACATACTTCCCAAGAATTGCAATCATTACCCATAACATACTTAAATTGCATTTTGGAGGACAATTATTCTAGATTAGAAATGGCTGCAGTGATAGCAACTGATGCTTCAGTTTGTGAAGAAAAGGCAGGGGTGAAAATTTTCCATCATTATCTTTGGATTGGTTTTTTCAATTCGCTTACTTGACTCTACTCCTATTTATCATGCGGAATTACTTGCCATTATATTAGATCTACAGAAATTACCCCTATCATTATCAGACGCCATCACTCTGACAGACAGCCTATCCGTCTGTTCCTCATTAACTGTATCAGATTTTTCAATTGCTTTATAAATATTTTATTCCCTCATTCCAAGACATATACGTATTATTCGTTTGGTGTGGGTACCAGGGCACAAAGCTATACCTCTCAAAGAACAAGCGAATGCACTCGCACTTTTATCATGTAATGGTCCGATAATGTCTATTTTGCCGACGTTGGCGTTCGTAACTGCGGTGCGTTTTGAAAAATTTGCAATATCGGACAACTTCGCTAAGTCTGCGTTTTCAGTTTCTGAGTTTTCTCACTTTAATTTAAAGACCGAGATTGCCGTTACCAAAATACAATGCCGTGTCTCTCCACTGAATTTTTACCTACACAGGTCTGGTCTGGTACAGTCACCTTTATGCCTCCATTGCAGTGAGTGTGAATCTCTTGATCATTTCTTTTTATCGTGCAGATTATTCACCAATCAGAGGGAAACACTTCTAGACAAACCGCTTCGAAGGTTGAGATTAAATTTATCTCTTCAGGTTCTTTTTTTCTTTGGGTTTTGGCCACAGCCGTGCTGGGTTTTAGCCACAGGAGCGTTTGCGAGGCCGTTTATGATTTCTTTCGGGAGACGAGAATAGAGTGCTAAGTTCGTCGATATGATATTTATTAAAAAATTTTTTGTCAATCATTCTAACAAATGAATTCGTAGCTATCTAATGCTTAACATTTTGAAATTGTGAACATCTCTTTTTTTAAAATTGGCCCCGTATCTGCATGTTAATCTGCAAATGTCGTCGAAAGATGATATTCTTGCGTCTGGAGAGATTGAACAAAACGTTTATTTGATGTTCTGCAAGAGAAAATTGGTGAATGGTATTCTGGAGGCACTGCGTTAGAGTGCCTCGAGCATGCAACGCAGGCAAACGAGCGAATCAAGTCATGTCACACGTGAGGCATGAGCGCTATCTGGCAGTTATATTGGAAAACGAAGCGCGCGGTGTGCGCGCCCGTCTCGGAGGTGAGAAGGTGTAGAATTCAAGGCGACGGGTAGGTGCCACTACCGTGTCGTGTTAGCAAAGCGTTGGAAACACTTGCCTTTTCGTTCAAGCATTGCATGGTCTGCGCAGCGTGATAAACGCTATGGTCTTTAGAATAACTTATGTATGCTTTTTCTAGTAAAAAACGCACAAATGAAATATTGACGTGTTGTTATGGTGCCGCAGATATGCGCAATAATTGCTTTTTAATTGACAATCGCACAAGTATTGACGCTAAATCTTGAGCAATCTTGGTGGGTGCTGCGGATGTGGTCGGCCGTTTGGGGCATCGTCTCGTGCCTTCTAGGATACCATTATTGGTGGACAAGCAGACAAATGTATAGAAAGACAGACAGACAGATACACCAAATTTTTTTGCGGGGAAGGTCTCCAAGAAAGACTATCGTCTCTTGAAGAGTTGTTGGGTGGGAGGTAACTCTGTCGATTTGCTTATTTGACGTGGAAGCGAGAAATTTTTCGAGATGTTGACAAATTTCCCTTTTTGCCTCAAGTAGAACCAAAATCCTCTCTCTCTCTCTCTCTATATATATATATATATATATATATATATATATATATATATATATATATATATATCTGCGGAAGTTTCCCTGGAGTTGGCAGCACTGAGAAGGGCTAAAGTAGGTCCATAACTTCAAGTTAAGCAAACAAGATTGGAAGTGGTACCAAACGCTTTAGTTGGGTCAATAAATACCACCCCTACCCATAGATTTTTATTGATAAATTGTTTAAAGCTATCAGCTTGATTAGTGCTAATTCGGTAGACAGCTTAGCACGAAAACCAAACTGCTCAGGGGACAAAAGATTAAATTTTGAGCTCAAGCCTCTCCTTGAGCTTGTACCTAACAGGGGAAGCTTTGTTGGTAGTTGGACGCATGTCTGCTGAAGATGCCACCGACTTTGCAAAGATCAAGTTGACATTGCTTCAGAGGTTCCGGTACGTGGAGGAGGGCTACCAAGTCAAGTTCCGAGAAGACAAGTCGGAGAACAGTGAAAAAGGACGTTCAAATGTATTTAGCAGCCGTTCATCCGTCTGCCTCGCTGCTGCTGCTGCTGAGTGCACACGCACTTAGCAGCAGCAGCAGCGAGGCAGACGGATGAACGACTGCTAAATACATTTTTCGGACGTTGCAGGAACTGTGGCCTTGGCCCGGCGCTTTCCACGATCGTTAGAACGGACAAGGGAGCGATTAGATCAACCGGAGGCCACGTGGATCATCACATGTGGTACACCGACCGTGACAGCCTACAAGAAGACATCGCCCCCCCCCCCCCTTGTTGTAGGCCCGTGTGCTCAGACTTGGGGGCACGTTAAAGCACCCCAGGTGGTCGAAATTTCCGGGGCCCTCCACTACGGCGTCTCTCATAATCATATGGTGGTTTTAGGACGTTAAACCCCACATATATATATATATATATATATATATATATATATATATATATATATATATATATATATATCGGACATCGCCCCCCTTGGACTGCCGCACACGCACTCAGCAGCAGCAGCGAGGCAGACGGATGAACGACTGCTAAATACATTTTTCGGACGTTGCAGGTTGGTGTGTTCTCCAAGCCTCTGGAAGGCGTTTATTTTGTTCTATTAAGCTTCCTGCTGCTTCTGGGTGCACTTTGTTAGAGAACCTTATTGATGTGTATGTGTGCTAGGTATTATGAGAGATATATGTCCATCATGCGAAGGCAAGATTCACGAATCGGAATCATGGCTACTATGTTCCGAATGCAAATGTAGTTTTCATATCGGTTCGTGTTCGGCAGTTACTGACAATGCTTACAAAAAGTAATCCGCGGCCGCTAAAAATCTTGGACGTGCGTAACGTGCAAATCGTCGACACGTGGCACCCATCGTGCAGAAGCGCAGAATGGGACAATGGAAAAGAAGTTCACCTCAGAGCTTGCGGAAATTCATCGCAAGCTTACTGCACTACTGGAGGTCAAAGCAAAGGTCGACGCTTTGGCGGGAGTAAAAATAACTGTCGATAGCAATGAGGAATCGGTGAAAGTTATGTCCAGTATGTACGATGAAGTTCTTGCACAGATGGCACAGCAATCGGCAGACATCTCGGATCTCGGAAAGCGGGTTGTGAAGCTTGAAACACAAGATAAGGAAAAATAAGTAGAAAAACTACAGCGTGAGCTGAACGAATTGGACCAGTACAGCAGACGTCTAAACCTTGAGGTAAATGGCCTAACCTATCACGAAAATGAAAACCTTCTGGCAAAGCTAAACCAACTCGCAACTGATCTTAATCTTCCACAACTTACTCAGTCTGATATTGAAGCCCACAGACTAGCCTCAAGAAACAAAAGAAATGGAGACAGGTCCAATACTGTCATGATGCGACTTTCATCTCGCCAAACTAAAGAAAAATGGCTTTCAAAGAAAGGAGAACTGAAGAAAGCAAAGTCAGCAATATTCTTCAGTGAAAACCTCACGGCATACAATAAGAAGCTCTTTTGGCAAGTGAAAACCAGGGCTTTTGAAAACAATTACAATTTTGCATGATACATGAACGGCAAACTTTTCGTGCGCCGCGGCCCGAGTGAGAGGGTGATTAGAATCGCAACTGAGCAAGACCTTGAGAAAATACAATAAAATTAAACACAGCTAGATGATCTACTTTTCTTTGGAAACATGGCAACAAACTACTATAATGCTGACCTTCCAAAAAGTTGCTTCATGGCACAAAAAACACTTATCGCTGATTCACCTTAATCGGCAAAGCCTTCAAAATAAAAAAAGTAATCTGTTGACTTCCTTTTGAACAACTTGAATCACCTGTTTGACTTCTTAGCTTTTACTGAAACGTGGTATACTGATAACCTTAATACCATACAGTTTAGGAACTACAGTTGCGCGTCAATCTGTAGACAAAATAAAAGGGGTGGTGGTGTATCGATTTATGTACATGATAACTTGAAATACATTGTTGTCAAAGAGTACACTGTAGTATCGCCGCATTTTTAATCTGTTATGATAAAGTGCCAAAGCATTTTAATGGCTGCAATATACAGGCCCTCTTCAGGAACTATGTCTGATTTCCTGCATTTCATAGATGAAATGCTTGAATTCTGTGAACAAAATAGCGCACGTGTAATTATTACAGGAGATTTTAACATAGATATGCTGCCTTCAAGCAGCAATAAACAAAACTTTCTTGACCGAATGCTTTCCTTTGGTTATGAAAATACCATTCATATAGCTACCAGGTCGATGCAATTCACTGAAACTGCATTGGACTTATGCTTTACTAACTGTAAAACTGAGATTTGCACAGGTGTTCTGACACCTGGAGTGAGCGATCACCTGCCAATTTTCGAATTTCTTACCTGGGCAGTTAAACAACGAAGTCCAGTAAACCCTATCTATTATCGGAAAATTAACCAAGAAACCATTGAGGTTTTCCAAAAGTTTGTTGCAGAAATGAACTGGAATTGTACTTTTGATAACACTGACCCTGTGATCGCCTACGACATATTCATAGCAAAATTAACAGAGCTTTACGACCTAGCCTTTCCGATTGTTACATATAAAGAAAGCAAGAAGGCACGAGAGCCATGGTTTCATGCTACATTTCTAAAAAGGATGAGGGAAAGAGATAAGTTCTTCACTGAATTTATAGAAACTAAACTCTTAGAGTACTTAATTGAGTTCAAGCAGGTCAGAAATAAGCTAGTGTCCGATATTAAAAAGGCGGGAATTAGCTACTACAAAAATATGTTCTTCTGCAAACTATCTTCTGCAAAGCGAAAAATGCTAAGAGCATTTCTGAACTTCAAATAGAAGGCAGATCTTGTTCCGGTACTGCACTTGCTAATATGTTCAATGACCAATTTTTGAGATCAGGAGCTTCTGAAAATAAATTGATGCTGCCCAGTCCTATAAGTCGTATGTTACAGCATGCATCCCAGAATCCATTTTCCTTACGCCCACGGATAAATCAGAAGTGGCCTTACTGATAAAAAATTTAAATAATAGCTCTGCTGCTGGTTTTGACGACATAAAAGCTCAACCTTTAAAATCAGTTTCAGAGCATATTAGCGCATGTTTTGCCCATATCTGCAATCTTATCTTGAGCACTGGAACGTTCCCTGACAAACTAAGACTAGCTACGGTATCTGTCATACACAAAAGTGGTGATGAAAATGACATGAGTAATTATAGGCCCATTTCTGTTCTGCCTATTTTTTTTTCAAAAATTGTAGAACGTGTCATGTATATACGAATTGCAAATATTTGTAGCTCAAAGAAAGTTATAACAGAACATCAGTATGGATTCCAGAAGAACAAGTCAACTGAAAAAGCCCTACTATCTATTAAAGATAATATAATTCATAACTTTGAGC